AAGAAAATAATATAAATAAAATTGATTTAGGAAACAAGCATTTAAAACAACGTAATATTATTAATAATAAGTTATTATTTAAATTACGCAGTTTGCAAAACAAAATCGTAATAACTTTATTTTCATATTCATAGAATTCGTTTTTAACTGATTTCGTATAGAAACAAGCTACAAATAATACAAATGCGTCCATACTTTTTTAATTAACTAAACAGATCATGTTTTTATCAATATTAATAAAGTACAATAGTTAATTTTTGAGAAGTAAGCGGGTATCGCTTTAAAAGATCTATGTTAATATTGGCGATTTTCCTCTCTCTCTCTCTCTCTCTCTCTCTCTAAATATATATATATATATATATATATACAGGGTATTTGGAAATTGTGATTAATCTTTTGCACAAGGGCAGAATGGACTAAACTGAGAAGAAAAGTCCTCTAGCATTTTACAATTGTCGTAATGGTTAATAAAACGATTTATTAACTTATGAAAATAGTTAAATTCGCTCAGCCCATGCAAGCGCACGATCGCCAAATGCAAGCGCACGACAGGATATCCGCCTCGCGCGGCAAGACGCGCGTCCGCTGTTGCTAGACACATTGTTTATAAGCGGCAATTGCTGTCACTAGACATTATGTGCCTAAAGCCGATTCAAACATTAGTTGCAAGTTTATTGTTACAGCCAATATGAGGCGTTGATTTCAAAATGCAAGCTTCAGATTGGCTGTCGCAATGGCCGGCTTAATAGCGAAGGCGCGCCTCACCGCGCTGGACAGTCCTATCCTGTAGCGCGCTTGCATTTAACGATGGGCTATTTTCTTAAGTTAATAACTCGTTAACCGTTGCGACAATTGACAAATGGTAATGGACTTTTCTTTTCAGTTTAATCCATTCTACCACATGTGAGAAAGACTTATCACTAATTTCCAAATATCCTGTATATACAATATATATATACATACACATATATATGCACACACACTGCTAACAAAAATTATGGCATAGAAAAATTGTGGACAAAAATTGGCCAACTTTGATTAACAATAACTTTGCAAAAAATTATCATAATTTTCTTTTAAATTAAAGCTTGAAATCTTTACTTTTTTGTATATTTATCATATTGAAAATTACAAAATTTGACAGAATACATGGACTTTATAAAATTTTTGGGAGGAATGCCATTCGCAGTGACGTAAAGTTTGAATTTTCTCCTTTAATAAAGAAAAACGAGTTACTGCGATTTTTTTCACAAAGTTACAGCACTTTAAAGTTATCTGCATTACCGGATATACACCATAACAAGATTGCTAGATGGATTTTGCATATCATATTTCTGCGTGTGTGTATGTAGATTTTACATATCGTGTTTCTACGGATAAATTTTAGTAACTCGTATTGCTTCCATTTGATTACTGTTTGTAGTCGATTTTTCATATTAATATAGACTCTAATTTCTTCCTGCGAAATGTCATTCCAGATTTGTACTAAATAACATAGATAGAAAAATTTGACAATACAACCTATCAATCTCAGAAACTTATCACGAGCTCTAGTACAAATTTGAAATAACATTCTGCAGGAAGAAATTAGGGCTTGCATTAATATGAGGAATATCAACTGCAAGCAGCAACGCGGAGACAATACGCGTTATTGAAATTTACACGCAGAAACACGATGTGCATTTTCCATGCGAAGCGACTCTCACCCCCCTACCCCCCTTGCAAAGGGGCGCACGACTATCATCTTCGACTCTCATCTCCCCTTCGTCTCCTGCAAAAGAGCGCACGACTTTCACCTTCGACTCTCACCTCCCCTTCCCTCCCTGCAAAGGGGCGTTCCATAATCAGACTTTTATAATTGTACTGTTTGACAACATATGTCAAAGTTGCGGTCGTTGGCACGACGTTCCCTACAATGCACGATATATTTTAAAGCAGGGAATTCTCGTGTTATATAGTTGAACTTTTTTTATTAATAATTTTTTAACAAAAGACGACTGCCACCTAAAACCGGAGGTCACTCAGGGCCATGACCTTGACAACATATGTCAAGGACATCGGCGCGATGTCCATTAATGTATATAATTACCAATATTTCATATATAATCATATAAAATTATATAAAATTATATAATTTTATATATAATTCTATATAATTATATATAATTTTATATACAATTTAATATAATTTTATATATAAGTTTATACATAATTATCAGGGTTGGGTAAGTTAATGTTTTTTTTAACTGAATAAAGTTAAAGTTAATAGCTTTACAAAATTAATAAAGTTAAGTTAAAAGTTGAAGGAATAAAAAATTAACTTAATGTAAGTTAAGTTAATATGGAATTAACTTAAAAAAAAAGTTAATTTTGAAAAAAATTATTTTTTAGATCAAAATGTTCTAATTTTTTTTTTAATGAGATTAAATACTATAATACATATAGATTATTAAATAAATTAAATTTTTAATTTTTTTGTTCACATGTGATATAATTTAATAAGCATAGACTATGGCTGCATTGGATGCTGATGTGCTTAAAGCGCATAAGCGTTAATGGCTTCACCAGCGTTATTAATCGGCACATCAGCACGATTTGCGACTTGCAGATAGCCCGATAGGTTTTAAAGTTAAGTTAAAAGTTGAAGGAATAAAAAATTAACTTAATGTAAGTTAAGTTAATATGGAATTAACTTAAAAAAAAAGTTAATTTTGAAAAAAATTATTTTTTAGATCAAAATGTTCTAATTTTTTTTTTAATGAGATTAAATACTATAATACATATAGATTATTAAATAAATTAAATTTTTAATTTTTTTGTTCACATGTGATATAATTTAATAAGCATAGACTATGGCTGCATTGGATGTAAAGCGCATAAGCGTTAATGGCTTCACCAGCGTTATTAATCGGCACATCAGCACGATTTGCGACTTGCAGATAGCCCGATAGGTTTTTACTTTTTAATAAGTCTTAAACCATAAGAAATTGACCAATTACAATCGAATGCGATAAGAATATTTGACTGTAATATCAATTACAAGTTAGAAATTGATTACAATCAATTTCTTATGACTTAAGGTTTAAAACACCTATGTAAATCCGGACTAAGGCTTATGATAAGGCATAACCGTATAAACTAATCAGAAGGCTGTATTAGCATCTTAAAAAATTACTTAAGATGGTCTTAAGATATGAACAAATTAGATATAATTAGACCCTTAGTCTTATTATATCTAATTATTTTTCTAAGATATTTAAAAGAGATAAACAAATTTTTCAACTTAAAAAAAAAGTTAAAAAGTTAACGTTTAAAAATAACTTTATTACTTAGTTATTTTTAACATAACTTAAGTTAAAATTTAATGCATTTAAAATTAACTAAGTTAAGTTAAAAGTTATTATTACTAAGTTAACTTTTTAACTTTTTTTTAACTTTTAACGTTTTAATTAGTTATTACTCAACTCTGATAATTATATAAATATATATAATTATATATAAATTTTTTTTTTTTGGGTAGCGTCTTAAAATAGAGATTTCAAACCTTAATTTAAAAGAAAAATCGTTATTCTATAATAATTATATAATTTTTCGCAAAGTTTCGTCAAAGTTGACTAAGTTTTGCCCAGAATTTTTCTATACCATAATTTTTTTAAGCAGTATATATTAGGAGTGTATATATTAGGAGTGTGATTTAGTTTTGAGGGTTTCTCAAAAACTGATTTATTTAAACAAGATAATAAACGAATACCTTAATCAATATAATTTTCTTCGTTTTGTATAATTTTTTCCCAACAAAGATAGATTTCGCGACGATAGAAAAATTCTTTTTTAGAGTTGATTCAATTTTCATCAAATTTTCGCACATCTTCGGAATTGAAAGTGTGTATCCTCTAGAGCATTGATCGGAACAAGTGAAAATCAGATAGAGCAATGTCTGGAGAATACTCAGGGTGCGGTAAGACTTCCCATTCCAACTCTAATAACGTTTGTTTCACTGACAATGCAACATGAGAACGAGCATAGTCGTGAAGAATTTCCGTCATTTGCTCGCATTGGATATCATTTTTGGTCTAATATTTGTTTTAATTTGTATAATTGTCGATAACGATCAGCAGTGACTTTTCTTTCGGATTCAATAGTTTATAGTACGCAACATCTTCTTCATCCCATCAAATACACAGCAATATCTTCGAACCGTAAATATTGCTATGCGCCTCAAAGTAAATATTGTTGGTTGGCCTGGATCAACCCATGATTTTTTTGTTTGGAATTATCAAAGTAGATCCATTTTTCATCCCCAATAATAATTCGATACAATAAATTCTTCTTTTTCTGGTGATCAAAATGCAAATGTTCAATCGATTCACAATGACATTTTTCAATAACTGATGTGAAATCCTTTTTCCCTTTTTTGTGAATCTTTTCTATCTTATGTAAACGTTTAATAACTGTTGTACGATCAATATTTAATTCTCTGGCAAGTTCTGAAGTGAATTGTGCTGGACTTTTGTCCAATAATGCTTGCAAATCTGCATTTTCTAGCTTTTTTGGATGTTCCAAGCAATCTTTGCGTTAACATTGAAGGCACCACTTTCGAATCATCTGAACCAATATTCACATATCTTAATTGATGGAGCAATATTATTATAAGTTTCTATCAGAATTCTGTGACTTATAGTCGCCATCTTCTTCCGATTAAAAAACAAAAGTGACGCATGTCAAAAATACTCTTTAAGAATCTCTTTTTTAAATGATATAAACACGATGTTTACCGCGACTATTATTAGTAAATGACTAAATATCATGAAGTAATAGTAAAGCATTAAGAAACAATAGCTGCGATTGGAATGTCTTCAATAATATTAACATTAGTGTCATCTCTTGGAAAATCCTCAAAACTAAATTATATTCTTAATGTATCATATTTGATGTACAGTAATTACACTAAAATAGACATAGAAGGTACTAATTGTTTCTGAAGATCAAATGATTTACAGACGAGTGGTGTTACACGAGAAGAAGAATATTTATGACGGAATCGGTTGGCCAGACTGGAAGTTAACGTTATGTCTACTTGGCAGCTGGACGACAGTCTGCATGGTGCTCTTTCAGGGTGTAAAGAGCTCAGGAAAATTTTCTTATTTCCTAGCTATTTTCCCATACATTATACTGCTCGCACTACTAGTTCATACGATTACTCTAGATGGCTCAATGGACGGAATCTTGTATTTCATCACTCCGAAATGGTCCAAACTTCTGGAGCCGACCGTTTGGTATGCAGCCGTGACCCAATGCTTTTTCTCACTCTCCGTCTGTTTTGGCAGTATCATCACGTACTCCTCACATAATAGTTTTAAGCACAACATTTACAGGTGAAATATGAAAAGTATATAATTATGAAAATAAGTTATTCACGAAATTGTGTATGCGTTTACGTGTGAGCATTTTAAAGGCTTTACAAAACTATTCAACATAACATATGAACTTAGAGATGTCATAATAATTACTTCATTGGATACGATTACGAGTATGGTAGCCGGCTGCACTATATTCGGGATCCTCGGTAATCTGGCGTATGAATTAGGGGTGCAAGATATATCCAAAGTGGTCAAAGGCGGAGCTAGTTTAGCATTTGTGTCTTATCCCGACGCTATAGCGAAATTTAACTTTCTACCGCAGGTAATACTAATATTTATTTTGTTATATATAGGTATTGCTTAATACTATTTGTTAATTAAAATGCCAAATGTTTTTTTTTAATATAACATCTTACTTCTTCATAAATTTATTCATATATAAACTATTATTTAATACTAAAATATTATTACTTAAAAATATTATTTGAAATATTATTTAATATTAATTAAAATATAAAATGATTTTTGCAGCTATTCGCCGTGCTTTTTTTTTTTATGATGTTTGTCCTTGGTGTCGGCAGCGCGGTAGGAATGACCACGGGCATCATCACAGTGATAAACGAGCAGTTTCCAAGCTTAAAAATGTGGCAAATCGTAGTTCCAACCTGTTTGCTTGGTTTTTCAATCGGCACAGTCTACGTAACACCGGTTAGCATAAAATTATGCTACTCAATTAAAGGGAACTAATTTTAATATCCATCGTATGTATGTGTATGCAGTCTTAGCAATGAAAAAATTTTACAGGGCGGGCAGTTTATATTAACTTTAGTAGACTATTATGGTACGTCATTCGTCGTTTTCATTCTGGCGTCATTTGAGATGACTGGAGTGGTATGGTTTTATGGTAAGAATTATTTTTAAGAAGAATTTATGGTAAGATAAAAAAATTATTTAATTGTATCACATATCTTACAAATAAACTTATCCAAGTGTTACACTCCGATTTTGATAAGCTTTAAGTATGTTGTAATTTAGATCAAAGAGACACGTATTTTTTTATATGTACCCATACGATCGTTAAGGGGATGAAATCACAAATTTATATAAACAGATTGCCAACTTTGCGTTCATGTTTGAAGATAGCGCTGGGCAGCGCTATATTTGTATTCACTTACACTTATATGTATAATTACATGGAATATGGATAATAACGTAGTGCTTTCACATAAATTCTTGCGATACTCTTGCGATAGACAGGACACATATCAACTGAAACAGAGACAGCGAGGAAGGTTCATCTCTTTCTATCACATTGAGTCAGCAGCCTAGTTATAGAAATCTGTGAGTGAAACATGCTCTTGAAAAAAATTGGTTTTTATATTTTTGTACTAATACCATCGAAACGGCAAAGGATATAAAAAAAATATAAATGAAGGTTTTATGGTATTTTATAATACACAATTCACTCAAATTTTTCGAAAATGATAGTTTTTTCAAAATCCCACTATTCCTTTAATTTTAAAAAATTTATGATTTCTTATAATAAAACTTATATAGCATATTTGATAATAAATACAATTATGATAAAATTATATTGCAAAGATACATTTTTCAAAATATATTTATATAGAGTGTTTGATAAGAAAATTCTTACAGAGATAGAGCGGATTAAATTGAGCCAAAAAGTCCTCTACCATTTTACAATTTTCGCAGTAGTTAATAAAATATCAATTACTAAAAATTACCGAATATTGGTTTTCAAGAATTTTTTACTTAAATATTATCAATTTTACAGAAAAACAGCAAGAGATCAAAATTGTTGTTTATTTTCTTCTTATAAAGTTCTGAGAATTTTTTCAGAATTTTTTAATACCGTATTTTCTCATGTATGATAGTACTTGAGTAAAAAATTATTGAAAACCAATATTCAACGATTTTTGGTAATTAATATCTTGTTAACTATTGCGAAAATTGTAAAATAGTAGATAACTTCTTGACTCAGTTTCGTCCGCTCTACTCATGTGCTAGAGTTTTATCAAATACTCGTTATATATCAAATACTCTGTTTAAGAGAAAACTTTAAAAAAAGCAAATATAGCAATAGGCGCCATGAAGCGGATATCAATGAGGCGCGCAAATAGCGATGTAAAGGTATATCTAGTTTATTTCTAAAAAATGCATCTTCGCAATATAACTTTACATGGTTATATTTATCGTTAAATATGCTATAAGTTTTGCTATAGGATAAATTTTGAAATTTGTCCTATATTTGTTCAAAAATTGAGGAAATAGAAAAAAGACATTTCGAAAAAAGACATTTTTGAAAAATCTAAGTGAATTGTTATACTTAAAGTATATTGAAAATCATAAATCTTTTATTTGACACTTTTAAATATATATTTTATCGTTTCGATGATATTAGCACACAAATACAAAAACCAATTTTTTTCAAGAGGATGTTTTATCGCTTTAATGATCGTATGAGCACGTATAAAAAAATACGTGTCTCTTTGGCTTAGATCAACATACTCAAAGCTTATCAAAATCAGAGAGTTAACATTTGGGTAGGTTTACTTGTTAGTTCTATTTGTGCTTCTATTTATCATTGCTCAATTCAGGTCTAGAGAACTTTTTGGAGGACTTGGAATTTATGCTGGACCGAAAGCCAAGCGTCTATTGGAGGATATGCTGGTTTATAGTGACGCCGTTTATATTGATAACAATCTTCATTTATACCATAGCCACCTTAACGCCTTTGACCTACGGTGGAACATCGTTGCCGGGATACGCGCATGCCATTGGATGGACAATACTCAGCATTGGTGTTGTTCAAATACCGCTATGGATGCTGATTGCGATGTTAAAGAATCGAAAATTGCCGTTTATACAGGTATTATCTCGAAAAGAAAATCACGTTACAAAATGCGTTACAAGCACGTGAAAAATTTTATGAAAAAAACTTAAAAATCAGATTAAGTTCATGGTTCGTTGCACTGTTTAAGATGTTAAAAAGAGCTTTCGCACCTGTGAATGGGTGGGGTCCACGGGAGATTCAGCAACGTAAGGACTGGAGGATCTTTAAGGAAGAGAGAGCGAGAGATCGCGAGAAGAGGATCCAACCAATCTGGAAACAAATACTCTACGTTCTTTTAAACATGAAACCAATATAGAGTAATTTTATATGAATTTAAAATACTATAAAGTTCTTCGAGTTTTTACAGTCGTTTCTGCCGCGGCGGGATCCGTGAGGCAAAACGACGATATATTATAGATTAACGAATACAAAAAAAATGTTTTGTTCTTTAATTCTTTAACTGCATGTGGATTTATAGAAAACTACTTTTTTATTATTTAATCTTACAAGTAATTGAGAAGAATAACTAGAGATGTGCCTCAATTATAATTTTTTAAAATTAAATATTTTATTATACTAATTGTTTTATATTATTAATCCGCATATATTATGCACTTACGTATTTAACAGCAGTTAAATAATTATTGTGTGTTTTACTTCTTGCTAGGTCCCATAAATAATTACATAATGTTGTACTATATGTAACATGATATAAGACAAAGAGCTGCCAATATTATTATCCTTTTACTAATCGCTATACGATGATTGCAACATAAATAGGCCGAATAATGATCAAACACAGTAATTACTTTTATATTATTTTAATTATTAATCTTTGCCAAATAGCGCTATAATTTTTTATTTTTTTGTCCATACACGCGATATCTTCTTCGACTGTTTAAAGTCTCTCCATTTATTGTATTTCTTGGACCCCTATCGGCGCTCGGCTTGAACATCTAAAAATAAAAAGCAATTAGTCACAATTTCATAATTTTCGACGATAGATTTGTATGCTAGAATTGTATTCAAATAAAATGCAAATGTATTACATTTAAGCACATTTTGTCTTTATTCTGAAATCCAACAATGATTATGCTTCAGGGAAAGGAAAGAACTCTTAAAGTCAAAAGCGTCCAACCCGTAGCTGCAAAATTAAAAAGATATTTTGCGAAATTGTTCTATGAAATTATTTTTTAATTATAATTAAGTTTTTAATTTTTATATTATATATAGGGTATCCCATAACTTTTAATTGATATTTTTGGGAATGAAAGAGAGGATGAAATTTTGAACTAAATTTTGAACAAGATCTTGGGGTAGCCAAATCTCTGTGGTAGGTTTAAGTGTAAACGAGGTAGGAATGTTAGAGAAAATGGAAAAAAAAAGGAAAAAGAGGAAACGTAATGTTATAATTAAATGAGTGTCAGGGTCAATAGAGTGTTTGCAGGGCAACAATAAGAGAAATAATGATAATTATTTATTAAGAGAGCCGCAGGAAGGGAGGTGAAAGTTGCTACGCGTGGATAGTCGCGCGCTCCTTGGCAGGAGGTGAGGTGAAAATCATTTCGTGTGAAAAGTCGCATGCCTCTTGGCAGCGGGAAAATGGGATGAAAGTTTTTGCGTGGAAAGTCTCGCGCCCCTTGGTAGGAGAGAGATAGGGTAAAATCGCTTCGCGTGGAAAGTCGCGCGCCCCTTGACAAGAGGGAGATGGAGTAAAAGTCACTTCGCGACACTATATTAAAAATTTGACTACAATTAATTAGTACTACATTCTTGTAAAATTTCATCGAAATCGAACTTGGGGTAGTATATGGAAATTAAGCCTAATATTCTATTCTAATTTTACAATTTAATTACTACTTTTATGATTATAAAAATAAAAAATAATTAATACTATATGCGGAAATTATTCGTTGTTATACATGAGCGATGTCATATCGATCAAGAAATAAATCAAGATGATAAACAAGGGAGTCAAATAACATCAATAGAATCTCCAGTAAAAGAATAATCGTCATCCTCTCATGAACTCGACATCGTCCATGAAATCATCGATGTCTGGAAAATCGATGAGTTATAATATATCCTTCTAAATAATTTTACGCAAAAATAAAATATATTAAATTATTACCGTATACTCAAGAAATGGCGATTATTTCGAAGAAAACTAAAAACACGAAAACTAATAAAGGTCTCACCGAAGTAATCTACCAAGTTAAGAACGTAGTGGCCGCCCTATCAATAAAAATGTTATTTTATTATTTATATTTGTACCATTTTAAAGTAACTTTATTATATTTTTTAGTAATAGAAGCGTTAATCATAAAAATCGTTTCTTTCTTTACAAAGGAAAAAGATTATTATTTCTCACTATTACACATTTATTAGTTTTATTATGTTTAATTTCATTATTATTGTTAATAGAAGAATTGACTCTTTTATTCACAAGAAACTTGTGAGGCTACATCGATATTGTAAGTTTTTATTTAATAAAGTATCTTTTAAAGTATATATTCTTGCTGCTTTATAAATAAATGTATAAATAACTGAATCCAGAGATGGTCCGTTTTAATCAATCTGCCGGAGTATCTCAAAATCCTTAAGTTTAAGATCAAAAAATTTTAGACAAAAGTTACTAGGAGAAAAAAATGGTTATTTTAATTGACTTTTTTTAAATCCCTAATAATAGAAGTCAAAACGTAGTTAAAACTTAAAACAATGTGATTAAAAAGGTATTCACCACGAGCGCAAGCTATTAGCAGCGAAATATTTATATTTTAATAGATTACAATAGAATAAAAACAATATAATAAAATAGACGTTTCGGCTTTATATTAGGCCATCTTCAGTATTACAAAATTAATATGTATTATAACTTACATAATCTTCTTGATGCTTCCATGGGTGCTTTCTATATAACTAATCTGTGCTTCGCGGGTTTTCTCCATGTCTTGGTCCATTCTTGATGTGCCAACGTTTCGTGGGCCTTGCAGTCCACTTCATCAGGGCGAGGAGCTGATATCAGACTGCTCCTCGCCCTGATGAAGTGGACTGCAAGGCCCACGAAACGTTGGCACATCAAGAATGGACCAAGACATGGAGAAAACCCGCGAAGCACAGATTAGTAACTTACATAATGTTGAGAACATCTAATTTTATTCATGTTGTCATAATGAGATAGAACATTTTACACGTTCGATTACAATATTTTCGAAGCGCTTAGGTTATTGTTATAAAAAATTTTTTTAGTCCATAAAATCATGTCAAATAATTCAGAAGCCAAATGTATTTTTGTCACAAAAGTTAGTCGAACTTATTGAAACACATAATTTCCAGATTCTATTAAATGTGAAATTTATAAAAATTGGTAATTCTTCAATTGAAAAAATAAATTTAACTGTAATATATAAATTATGATACCTGTGTTAATAATAAGTTGAGTTGTGGAATCCAAGATTTGGAAAATATATTGAATTGTTCAAGAGTTAAAAATATCTAACTGTAATCATGAAAGACGATTTATATACAATTTATGTCCGCGAGTGAAAAATTCTAGAATTGTATGAAAGAAGTTATATTTAACAAGGGCAAGTATGCTTCTGGTAATTTTTCTGTGTCGTTTTATTTATTTATTCCGTTATTTTATTTCGTTGTGTAGATTATTTCTGTGACGTTAGTCTCTTCTGAAAGAATGGTTCTATATTTACAATAATAGTACTTCCTGAATATTATCCAAATTAAATTTGTGACAATATTCAGATTGATGTTGTGAAACAACATTATGAACGCTATTTAATTTTTTAATGTTAGTTTTATGTTCATTTATTTTAGTTTTAACTTTCCTTTTAATTTGGCCCACAAGAGGAGTCACAATCGAGGCAACTATTATATACGCTTATTTTATATACGATATTACATTGTTTCATTCTTTCTAATTTGTCTTTACCAGATTTAATAATGGATTTAACGTATTGATTGGTTTGTAAGCTATTTTAAAATTATTTTTTTCCGCGTTGTTTTAAATATTTCTCCGGATATTTCTTCGAGATATCCTTCATATAAGGAGGAGGTCCTAAAGGAAGGACCAAAGATCCACAAAGAAGGTAATCCCCTAAGGATAGTTAGTTGTATTAATAGTCCTTTATTTCCGTTAGCTATTTAAAAGATATAATTGACAAAAATTTAAAAAAAGAATTTAGTTACATAAAAAACAGCTATGAATTTATTAATAAACTTAATGGTATGACATTAAATTTTGATTACAAAATGGTATCTTTCAATATTGTGTCGATGTATACTAATATTCCTGAAGATTTAGTTGTAAAGGCGGAAACTTATTTGTACACCTAATATCATCCACATATTTATAATAGATTGGAATGTTTATATTCATATTATAAAATATGTTTTTTTTTCAGGTCTTGAATTATTATTATACGTCAGCCAAGATAGGTGACAATATTGAAATAAGATAGAACTCTATTTCCCTGAATATGAACATTCCTAAAAATGAATTTTTGAAGGCCATCGTGAGTCTTTAACTCTACTTATTTCAACTTTGACAACCACTTTTTCAAACAGATCTTTGATATGCCTATGGGATCTCCCTTGTCACCTTGGCTGACGTATAATAATAATTCAAGATCTGAAAAAAAAACATATTTTATAGTATGAATATAAACATTCCAATCTATTATAAATATGTGGATGATATTAGGTGTACAAATAAGTTTCCGCCTTTTTTAATCAAAAATTAAGCATTTATTGTGAAAGAACGATACATAATGTTTTATTGATGTAAGTCAAAATGTAAGTGCAAGTTCTTTTTGCGTTTGGCACGAATCTTCATTCAATAATGCTTCCAATTCCGCGTCTTCGTACACATTCGGCCTTTCGCTACGTTCTTTGTCTTCGACGTCAAATTCACCGTTCTTAAATTTTTGAAACCATTCACGACAACTTCTCTCACTTAAGGCCTCACCATATGCTTCTACAAGCAATTGATGAGCCTCAGCTGCAGATTTCTTCAAATTAAAGAAGTAAATCAAAAGTTCCCGCAAATGACGCTTATTCGGCTCAAAACTCGGCATTTTCGCACAAAAAAATATATGCTGATACAAAATCGCTAGTATTTCAAGGTTATGTTGTTGACAGATGTCTAACCTTACGATATAATGTTTTACATCAGACAATTTTAACTATAGCTTGCTAGTGGCGCCGTCTTTTGTCAAACGGCGGAAATTTATTTGTACACCTAATATCATTTTGGCCGTGCCGATCAACCAAATGAACAGAATTCTAAATAAATTTAACTCGTATCATGACAGACTGAAATTCACTTGCGAACATAATGATGACGGTTCTATTAATTTTCTTGACGTGAGTCTAAGAGTGGAGGATGGATTCATTAAGTTTGACAATTACAAAAAACGAACTCGGGACGATATCTTAGCTACAAATCAAATAGAACATAAAAGATCCATCCTATAGAACATAAAAAAGGTGTCATAATCGGTTAACTCGATAGAATTCT